GCACTTCATGTTCCTGCTCAGCAGTCTGGGAAATGGAGTCCACGCGCTGTCATTTGCCTCCCACCGTGCACCGTCTAATGGTGATGTCTTCCTGTATGAAGCCCTGCAGGGTTTTTTTTTCTTGCCATCCTGCCTGCCACAGACTGAAATATGATGCAGCAGGCTCAGTTACCAGGCAACAGCCGGGGGAATCAGAGAGGGACCGGATCTGATTGGCTGCGTAGACTGCGTAGGACTGGGCGCAAACACCACATCCATCAGAAAGGAAGAGACAGGTGACGCTGGAGGCAGGATGAAAGTGTGTGTTGTTGCCTTGAAGAGGATTATTAATCTCATCAGCTGTGTTTTCACTGCAGCACACAAGCCGTTCATCAACTGCTGCTGCTGGATGATGATGATGATGATGAAGAGACGGGGACCACAGGGCTGATGGTGATGCATCCCGACGTGCAGGGTCCGAGTGGGTCTCACCGACGTCCTCGTCACAGACGCAGTTACGATAAGCTGTGGAGAAGCATCATGTCACAAATACACAGTTAGCGGCCAGCTCAGGTTTTAGTCAATAGTTTAATGACATGTTTGTTTTTTTTTTAGTTTAAATGGCAAAGGTAGAAAGGTCACTTTAAATAGCCCACGGTCTGTAGAGATGCTGCCCCCTGTTGGTGTTTTCTAAATTAAAGATAAATATTGAAAATGTAGCTGTCGTTTAAACCCAAAGAAGATAGAGCTCGGGCTATTGTGAATTTTTGTTACCTTAACACTGAATCAGACATTTACAACTCTGTCCAACAATTCTCACACACTCCTCCTCTTCACAACAAACACAAACTTTTTTTTTTTTTTTACTCAGCAGAAGATGTCTCAGCACAGAAAATGAAAAAATAAAATTGTAATTATTTCAAGTCACTCAAATGCAAATATATAGTCAATAAAAAAAACAGACATCCTATTTCATAATCTCACAAGTAGCTACACATTTTTTCTAAATGTATTAATTGTGCATGGTACATTTCAGATTTATTCAATGGAAAATGTAAATGTGAAAATATGAATTTCCCCCGCGTACCACTAGAGAGCGCTCGCGTACCACAGTTTGAGAATCACTGCTGTAAAACATAACTATTAACTATTATCATTATTGTAGTAATATTAATAATAATAATAATAATAACTTGAATTACAACCATAATAATCAATGGGTCTTGATACTGATTTACGTATAAATTTCATAAATTACAGCAAACCTTTCCTGCATAAAAAAATCATAAGTGTTTTAAACTTAATTTAATATGAGGACTGAATATAGAATAATACTAAATACTAAAAAAATCCAGGACTATCCCTTTAAGCTCAATTATGTTCAGACGCCAGGACACGATTTTATCGATCGACTCGGGACGAGCAGCAGATTTCTAAATGTCTCTATTCACTCGTTTCCTGCAATTGCCAACCACTGCCGCTAGAGTGCAGTATATAGTAAGCAAGTCCAGTGACCTGCTGAGGCGTTCACTTATTGATTTGATCTCAGTTCAGGGCAGACAAAGAGGATATGAAAGAGAGAAAACTTCAACAGGATGTAGATATAAATAAAATAAAAATAAAAAAATAAAACCTTTAAATACCACAGCTGTGAGTTTATCCATGTCCTTTCTGAAGAATTTCTGATCAACTTCCTGTCATTGATTAGATTTGTTATTATGTTGTTGTTTTTTTATGACAAACTGACCAAATAATCCCAAAGTTTGTGAAGAGTCTGGCGTGGGTTTTTATTCAGACTTGATATAACCTGACTTTCTAAAGCTTCAGGTCACACCTTACAGTCCTCTGAGTTTCCTGTTTTATAACAGCCTGGTGTTACAAAACAAAGTACACCATATATATGAACATACACTACATATACCCATTAGTGGTTATATATGTCAAAGAGGTCTTTGTGTATTGTAT